TAAAATAAGATAATTACGGTATCTACCAGTCATTTCTGGCATTTGAGCCCGGCTCACCTTAATTGACAGGCTCTATCCCCTGAGTAACCACGACTCCTCATTTTGAAGATTGAGGAATATTTATTTACAAGGAGAAGAATATTTATACACTTGAGTAATATATATATATATATAAGAATAGCTCCTTTCAGGGGGTAGCTTCTCTTCACTATAAGGCTAACAACACAATAGACTGAAAAAAAATATTCCCTTTGTCCATAGTCACCTCCGCGGGCCCAGATGAATGGCTGGGGGAGTTCTTACTATAGACATACCATCTTTCCGCACTTCGCACAAAGAATACTTCCTCATACAGATACACACAAAGAATACTTACATAACACTTCAAGGCTGGTGGTACCAGTATCTCGACCTGCCCCGTTAGCCGCGGTACAACTGTAGTTGCCCGTATGTTGTTCCTGGACATCTTCGACGACGAGTGAGGAGGAGAAATCATCCAGTTTCCTGATCCCGATCTCTGTGGGACTGGGAGGATTTTCTCGGGCTTCGATGCTCTCTCCATTCTTAGACCAAGTGAAGGTGATGGGGGGTGATCCGTCACTGGTACTGCATGTCACGTGGTATCGTTCACCTTTCCTCAACTGTGCCGACTTTGTCAAGGGAATGAGCTTAGGAGGAACTGAAAAACAAAAACAATTTTTTTAGTTTTTTTTTATTGTGAATTTATTAATGTTGTAGCTGTAGGCCTTTAAGACCATGGGTGCTATTGTTCTTTTTTTTCCAATGGCGCAATCTATGGCCAAGAATTCGACTTCTGTCACACCCATACGTCACACCCTTTAATAGGACGTTCCCATTCGTATATCCGCTCATTCATCCATTGGTCGTAGGAACCTGAGGACGATCCCTCTCCAATTCAGTACCTCCAAAGGTATAATTTGCTATGGGAACATGGAGGACTTTAATGACCCGGCAGATTTAACGTGCACTCCAGCCAACCAGGCTATCCCGGCTTTTTGATTTATTAATAATGATAAAAAGGGAGGACTTCTCGACTTTAAGTGGTCATGGTATATAGTACTTTTTCAAAAATAGAATGAAAATGTAATTTTTTCTTTTTTTAAACCATTGATCAAATGGTTGTTAGAAGTTACATGTCCGAACATGATTCGAATATACTCCGGACAAAGCTAACTTTTAAGCATTACCATGACTTCGACAGCTTTTTTGGTTCATTTTCAAGTGGTTTTAAAAGTTATGCATTTTACTGATAGATTTGAAAAAATTTTTAAAGTTATAAATGGTAATTAATTAATTTAATTCAAATATAATTCAAATATTATAAATTAATTAAAAAAATACTAAATAATACTAAAATTAGAATGTACTAAACTATACTTAATTGAAATATATTTCAAACAATAAAATTTATTAAATATAAGTTTGATTAATATATACTTAACTAGAATATAAAGTTTTTTCTCAATAAATGCCATATATAAATCAATATTCACTTTTTAAACTTCATACAATTCATTGAAAGTGACTTTTTTTTTTAGATAAATGAAGAATAAATTCATATGTAAGACCAAATTTATTCAAAAATATACCGAACTCGAATATAAAGTTTTTACTAAATATATGTTACGAAATATGATATTTACTAAATATAAATCAATATTCACTTCTTAAACTTCATACAGTACATTTTAAGCTGCATTTTTTTTTGTCTTAGATAAATGAAGAATAAATTTATATGTAAGAATAAATTTATTCAAGAATATACCGAACTCGAATATAAAGTTTTTACTAAATAAATGTTACTAAATATTTACTTAAAATATAATAATTAACGCCTCGTTAAGTCACAGCAGATATAAAAATGGCATGTTATTCGCCTAAATTCTTGTGACGTCAGAACTTTCGAACAACAACCTAAATACTTCAGTTGCTATTAAATAATTAAATAGATACTTAATTGGGCATGAAGTTGCTCAATTTTTTAGAGTGTTGATGATTTTAAACTCTTTCGTCCATTAAAAAGAGATTTTTGTGTCTTTTTATAAATTCCTAACACTATTTTTCTTCTTATTTCCGTATTCTTTAAAATTTTAAGCTCATACGTAAAATCATATGATGTTCAACTTGAAGTATAAATCAACAATTTAAATTAGTAAAAAATATCCTTTAAAAAATTTTAAATTTATTACAATTTTAGTGATTTTTTTTCTATTGCTTAAGAACATTAAAAAAACATTCTTACAAGTTTTTTACTTTTCTTATTTACTACCAACAACAGTTAAGCATCGCTCATAAACATTTACCGACTTAAAAAAGAATTACCATAATTGGAATAGAATTTTATAGATGCTGTTCAAAATTCCAAGTTACGTTTAAAAAATTTAATTTATTTATTTTCGGAAAATTCGATAAACTATTGGAACTTTTTTATCATTAGAAAATATTTTGAAAAACATTTTAAATTTATTATATTAGTTAATTTTTTTCATTTTCTAACTAGTAATAAAAAAACTCTTTTGAGTTCGAACTACTTTTTCCTTTAATCATTACCAACAAATATTAAACATTATAGGATGGCTAAAAAAAGAGCCAATTGATAGTTTTGGTTATATAAACAAAATTCCTTCCTTAGTATCAAAATACCATATTTTATATATATTAGGCACTTGTGAAGGTTCTTATTTATGGAACTGCATTTATAATATGTCCCTTTATGTACTTTTTTTTTGTTTGCTTTTGGCTTACATAGTACAAAGTATACTCTTTCCTTTTTGGACATCGTATGAAGGCATTTTTAAGATTTTATTTTTTAACCGTCGTTGAACAGCCGACCCAATTTCGGGTTTACAACTACCAATGCCCAACTCCATAGCCTTGTCATTTTGAACCCTATTCAGAAGACAAGGGAACTCATGGATCAATTATTGATAGAAGTTTTTCTTCGTGGAGAACTTTTTGATGGAACTAACCCGCATTTGCGGAATCGTCTGCCACACTGAGGATATTTTACGTTAGCACTGTGGTCGATGCAAGCCGTATACGGTATCTACCAGTCATTTCTGGCATTTGAGCCCGGCTCACCTTAATTGACAGGCTCTATCCCCTGAGTAACCACGACTCCTCATTTTGAAGATTGAGGAATATTTATTTACAAGGAGAAGAATATTTATACACTTGAGTAAAAATATGATCTTAATACTTAAGCACACTTGAATGTTAAGAACATATTTCTTATGTCGGGGTTAACTGTACTTTTTTTTTTGTCAACCATTTTTAATAGAACAATAGGTAACCTTACAACCAAGGTTGGCCATGTTATACTAATTCGAAAGTATCAAATAGAATTTTTTTAAAAAAATACTCCATTTGAAAAATTAATAACCGTGTCTAAAATTGGAAGTTTTTTCAAATAAATAACATTTCAATGCAAAAATCAAAGTATCCTGTTAAAAAAATCTTCTCTTTGCAATTTTTAGCGAGTCACAGTTTCTCTTATATCATTTCATGTAAACTAATACATTAAACTGCACAAAGGGTGTCCTGTAAATGTTGTGCCAAACTTTTAAGGGGAAGTATCATGAGGATTAAAAGTTACCAAGGAAACCATGACAGGAAATGTCATCGTATGCCGCAATGGGCGCTTTCCTATTAAGAACTGTCACAACCTTTGAACATCAGGTACTTTTATTTATTTAGATTATCTTAATTTTTTGTTTCTATTAATTATTGTCAAAAACTGCTTTCAAATAGGAACAGTATAAGCTATTTTATTGAAATTTAATGGTTTGGCGACTCACTGGAATAGCTCTTCTAATCATTAACTTACGATAAAACAGCATTTCCCAGCCTATTTTAATGAATCTCTCGTCATAACTAATAGTAGTAACACAGAGCTGTGGTGGCTCAGGGGATAGAGCGCTCGCCTCCGAATGAGGGGAACCGGGTTCGATTTCCGTCAATGGCTGGTTGTTTCGGATTCCTCCCCCGGCTCGCACCGACCACAATGCTGACGTAAAATATCCTCAGTGATAGATTAATTATGGGTTAGAATCCCCTTACCGTTAGGCTAACCATGAGTGTTTTTCATGGTTTTCCACTCCGTGTTACACTAATGTTGGTTAGCTCCATCAAAAAGTTCTCCACGAAGGGAAATTTCTCGTGATCCAGGAAGTTCCCTTGTCTTCTAGATTGGGTTCAAAATGACAAGAATACGGACATTAGCAGTCGTAAACTCGAAATTGGTTCGACTGTTTAACGACGGCCATTAAATAAATTAGTGGCATAAAATTAAAATATTTTAGAAAAATAAAAGTGAAAACTCAAAGGTACACGAACAACGTGCCCATAAATAGGAAAACGTCCCTAGCACCGTAAGTGACATTTCCGGTCATGGTTTCTTTAGTAATTCTTAATTCCTATGATGTGCCCTACTTCCCCTAATGGCAACATTTAAGGGACACCCTGTAATATTCAAAAATCATTGTATGGATAAAAATTCCAATTCTGAATAATGAACATCTTTTTTATTTCACACTTTAATCAGACTTCTTATTAAACACGTTTTTTGTACATTTTTCATTATTTTGCATTAATTGAGGCCAAAATAAGTGAAAAAATATTATTACATTATTTAACATTTCAATGATTTTTGATTATGAACTACAGCGTGAAACACCGGTGTCTTTTTCGACATGTAATTTAAAATCTTCTAAACACGGCTCTCTTCCAAACAAAAGTTGTTGTTTTTTTAAATTTGTACACATTTGCCATTATTTTGTTCTAACAGAGACAGTTATTCACCATTTAAATTTCTTTAATTTACAAAATCAATTATTCATAAACTTTCGAATATGAATGGGGAAAAAATTAAACTATATTTTTTATGTTATATTTTACTATAAATTTAAATCAGATAATCTAATAGACTTTTTTAGAAACTATAAAATTGTATTTAATAATTAAAAAATACCAAAATATATTTTTGATTGCAATTGGAGGGAAAAATATATAAAAGGGACAACCATCTGCTTCAGACGGTTAGAAAAAATTCATGTCTAAATGAATTTTAATAGTATCATTTGAATAATAATACAGTATATGAAATTGTATAATAGTAAAGCTGAACTGTCTTTAACTAATCCATAATTTGCAGTTTGAGAGGTCAACATTTCATGAAAAAATCAAATAAGAAGTAAAAATCCCCTGTATTTTCCCAGTTTTCCCTGTTCTTCCTGTGGTGTAGCAACCTGTATAAAAAATAATAATTCATGTTAAAACATGAAAAAGAAGAGAACACTCTTTGTTTACGTAGCCGGAAAAATATTTGTTTTTCCGCATGGCTACGCTTCTAGCGGTGAAACAACTTTTACAGAATGCTAAAGGGAGTTTTCGACGAATGAAGTTGTGAAAAATACAATGTTTATAAAATCATAACGGTAAGAAAACATTTCCATTATTCATATCGTATTTTCAGGGAACCATGTGAAACAAAAGAATAAATCTAATATTTAAATTTATATTCGAATAAAGGTTCTTTTTTTTTAATCCTCCTTTCTTAGATATCAGGTTTTTAAGAATCGTTTCAAAAATATACATTCAGATCAATAGTTTAGCTCAAAACATTTTTATCAAGCCTAAATTGTACAAAAGAGATTTGATAACAAAAGTTAAATTTAGAAAGATTTCTCGGCAAAAATTTATCTTACCTGCTTGATTGTTCAAATTTCAAATTAAAAAATGTTGATTAAAAAATGCATTGTAATTTTAAGCTTATTTATAGTTTAGATGTTATTGTTTTTCATAACAAAAAAATTATGAGACTAAAATAAAATCATGTTTTTTTGTGATGTCCTCTTAAGATGAACTACCCTTAACTTATATTATTTTTTTAGTAAGTATTAAGTTTACCCTAAAATATATATTTTCAGATTTATTCTTTTATCATTTCTACTTATTGAGGGTTGTCAGAAGTTAGATAAATCTTTTCATCAGTTATTAAACAACGTGATCAAATTCAAATAAAGACATTCCTCAAAAGATTTGAAAAGTAACGAGATTCAAAATTAAAAGCTAAATGCACCAAAATAACACTTTTATTATTTAATTTGTCCCTCTAAAATAAGATAATTACCATTTTTTCTGGCAACACTATGAATAGAATTCCACTTAAACAGCAATAATTATTTTGAAATTGTTTCATAAATACTAATTCTCGCTTGAAAAAATATATGTTTTGATAGGATGTTTTTATCATCATTTTGTCACATTTTTAGGATTTCCTTTTTAAATCTTAGTCATTAAACAACGTAACCAATTGCAAATACAGACTTTCCTTGAAATATTTGAAATGCAACGAGATTTAAAAATAAAAACTAAACATACCAGAATAACACTTTTATTATTTAATTTGCCCCTATAAAGTACAGTTAGTTCATTAGCATTTTGTTCTGGCAACATTATTAACAGAATTTCACTTAAACGGCAATCATTATTTTTAAATTGCACATAAATGCCAATTCTCGAAGGGAAGAAAAATATATTTCTATAGGATGTTTTTATCACCTACTTGTCACATTTTAAGAATTTCCTTTTTAAATTTCCCCTTGAAAAGAAACGAGTGACACAACTCATGAAAGCGGTACTCACCTATATTTTGCATGGAAACTGCTGAAATCGTCACTACGATCACTACAATTTTACACAGCATTTCTTCGTTTCGCACCATATTGCAACACGATCATCCGCATATTTATTTAAAAATAAAAGTTGGGAAATTATCCGATTGCAATACCGGCTTCCACGCCATTTTTTTCTTTGTTTTGATCTTTATTATCCCGAAAACACATCCATGTTGTGAGTCACCATGGTTGTTCGATTTTGGGGAGAAACTTTCCTTCTCCCCACAGAACAAAATGGATCGATTCAACCCGCGCAGACGCCGATCCCCCAACCCCCACCCCTCCTCTTTCTCTCGCTCTCTCTCTGTCTAAACTATGATACATGTAACATTTAAATTATGTTTTAATTAGATGCCGAATGAAAAATTGATTGGATTAATAAAATTTGAATAAACCAAAAGCAAAACATTATAAAAAAATGGGGCAGTAAAAAAACATTTGTTACCCCACTTGAGGTGAAATTTTTTTTTCACCATAGAAAAAATGCCTGACTATAGTGAAATATCGAATACTGAGAAGGTTTCTAAGTGTTATTTAAAGAGGTTATTTTATCAGAGAGTATATTTTATAAAGGGTATTTATAAAAGGTATTTTAACCGAAATTATTTTAACCAAAATTATTTAAAAAAGGTAATTTAACGATGTTTGCCGGCTGAGCGCCACCAATCCCTGCCCAGCATGCCGGTCCACGCTCGTCTATACCCCTTAGAGTATTTTATAATAACCCTGTATAAGGGTTATTTTATAAAGGATATTTTATTAAAGGATTATTTATTACTATTTTATAAATAATAAAGGGTTCTTAATTAGTTACCGGATGAAAAAATGTTTGCATTTATAGAATTTGAATAAAACAAAAAAAAAATTATTAAAAAACGGGGTAACAAAAAATTTTTTTTACCTTAGAAAAAATACAGTTTAACCCCTCTCGAGTGCAAAATTGGACGCTGAGAAGATTTTTAAGAGTTATTTAAAAGGGATATTTTGTTAAAGGGTATATTTTATAAAGGGTATTTGTAAAGGGCATTTTTAAAGGGTATTTATAAAGGTTTGTTGTAAAGGGTATTTAATAAAAGATATTTAATAATATACCCTCTAGGGTATACAGTTTGTTCTATAAAGTAAGTTTGATAAAAGGTTATTTACTATTTTTTATAAGTATTAAAGGGTCTTTAATTAGTCACGGAATGAAAAATGTTTTGCATTTATAGAATTTAAATAAAACAAAAAAGTTTTAAGAAAATGGGGTTACAAAAATATTTCTCACCCCATTTAAGGTGAAATTTTTTTTTCATTTTAGAAAAAATACTATATAACCCCACTATAGTAAGAAATCGGATGCTGATAAGGTTTTTACGGGTTATTTAACTATAGTGAAGAGCTCAGAAATACGTAGTTTGCTTATAGTGGACTNTAGGGTAAATTTTTTTTTACCTTAGAAAAAATACAGTTTAACCCCTCTCGAGTGCAAAATCGAACGCTGAGAAGATTTCTAAGAGTTATTTAACAGGGATATTTTGTTAAAGGGTATATTTTATAAAGGGTATTTGTAAAGGGCATTTTTAAAGGGTATTTATAAAGGTTTGTTGTAAAGGGTATTTAATAAAAGATATTTAATAATATACCCTCTAGGGTATACAGTTTGTTCTATAAAGTAAGTTTGATAAAAGGTTATTTACTATTTTTTATAAGTATTAAAGGGTCTTTAATTAGTCACGGAATGAAAAATGTTTTGCATTTATAGAATTTAAATAAAACAAAAAAGTTTTAAGAAAATGGGGTTACAAAAATATTTCTCACCCCATTTAAGGTGAAATTTTTTTTTCATTTTAGAAAAAATACTATATAACCCCACTATAGTAAGAAATCGGATGCTGATAAGGTTTTTACGGGTTATTTAACAATAGTGAAGAGCTCAGAAATCTGTAGTTTGCTTATAGTGGACTCAAGTTTCTTTTTTGCTTGTTTTTAAATAAATGTTGAGCTCCATGGGATAAATTCAAAGTATATAATGATGGAAAATGAAGACATTATAAATGAGTCATTTCGCTGAAATTTGTAATCTAAGAGTAACAACCGAGAGTGAATTTTTACAACAATTTACAACAAACATTTACAACAATTGTTGGAACAAACACAAAAATTTCTACTTTAAATTAATTTTTTTTTCAAAAATAAGTTCAATAAATATAAAAAATTCCTAAAATGATAAAAACTGAAAAGATAAACGTTTAAAATATTCGTTACAGGGAAAGAAGGGTTTCGTTACATGCAGAATACTGTTATATTCCCCCCATAGGAATATCTTCACTGTAATGCAACTGTGTTAAGGGACTCAACATGGTTGCTCAGTGAACAATTCATAAATCAAATTATGTATTATTGGAATCTACTATAAGATTCTGAAATATATTTTTGGATGCTTGGATTTTGTGTATAAAATATATTTTTGTATATTTTGGATTTGTGTTTTTCAGAGACGTTTCACTATAGCGGACGCCAACTGTATCTACATTTGAAACGGGATACGTACTTATCGCTAGGGATGGTTGATCATGTAAAGCTACGCACAGATGTTGCTGTGGGTTAAAAGTCGTCACGTGACTTCCGACTTACTGCTTCAAATTGATTTTTACGCCTAAACTAGAAAAAGCGCGGAATCCAATATTATTATAATAATAGTGTTTACAATATAACGCATTCTTTCCATTTAAATTTAAACGAAACAAGCAACAAATGTATTCGGAATGCTTCGCAAGCATACTTTGATGCAAAGACAAAAAATAACAAAGGTGCTATTTTTCACATATATAGCCATATAAAGTATAACACTCAATACATAGCAAACCTTACACTTTATTTACGTTTTGGTATTTATTTCCTTAAATTTGCTTTAGGATCAGGACACCAGATAGAAAGTACGAGAAACTGTTGTTAAAATGTACGAGAAATGTTAAAATGACGCATACATTTGATCTCAAATGACACTAATAAAACTTCTGGAATATCAAGCCTGTTCACACATCGATTCGTAAGCGGAGGAATACACCGGAAGTTTTCCCGGTTTTAGGAAGCTTGTCATTGTTTCTATCCCCCCCCCTTGTTGGTAATCCCTTTAAATGAATTTTGTTCTCGACTATTTTAATGTTTATATAAGCATGTCATTTTTTTAAGGATCGCTTATCTTAGTTTAAAGGAATACAACCCAATAAGCTAATATGTAATAAGTAATTCATAACTATTTATCAAATAATTATTAGTTAAAATATGTAATTATTATTTATTTTACTGATTTTTAACATATTGTTTTTACTATAACGTTGGTGGTGTAATACTTGGGGGTGTAAATTATATAACAATGATAAATGATTGAACAATAACTGGAGATGGAGATCCAACCTTGAAATGTACTAGAGTTATGAACAACCAGATATTATTAAATGCATAAAAATAAATAGAATGAATGGGGTGACCCACGTGATTCGAATAAGTGATGACAATACAATAAAAAAGATGTTGCTTTTTAAATCCACTGGAACAAGAAAGCGGGGAAGGACGTGGTTGATACAAGCTGATTCGGTGAATTTCTTGCAATCAATGAAAATGATTGAAGATTATAGATAAATCGGAAATCATTATGGAGAAACCTTCAGAGGAAGGCACTGGCTCAGATTGGGCTGTCTGGCCAACTGAAATGATTTTTACAATAAATATATTCTATTGTGTAAAGTATGCATTTTTTTCTACAAACAGTGATTGAATATTAGGCGAACACCAATAATTTAAATAGTTTATCACCAAGAAAGCTTAAAAAGGCAACGGAATTTTATTTTTCTATGTTCCAATGAAAATTGTTGGTACTTGTACAATGAAAGATGTCTTAATAACTCTTTAGTTGGACAAAATAATTCATACCTTTTCATTTTTTTTTATTTGTTATACCTTTATGTTTATTTGATTCAATCATTTCAATTACCTCTTCCATGATATTAAAAATTATTTTATTATCTTAGGATTACAATTGGATAGCATTTTTTTTTCAATTATGTCTAGTTTAAAAATGCTTCAATTGGATTTTTGGGGAACTCAAAATGTGCTTAACTATGTTAAAATTATTGCATGTCCTGAAAATGATTTATTTTATGTTTGCAACATATTTTTCGTTCGTTTTTTAAACATTATGACATGTTACAGGAGTCTGAAACATGCTCTGCATGCCGTTAAGATAGCCCTGCATGTAATAAATTAAATTAACTCGTTTACAATGAGCCCTGATGATTTGACAAGATCCCGTTTTTTGGTGACTCATAAAATTTTTACTTATTTCAACCTGTTCTTGGAAAAATTCCTTAGTAATGTCGACGATGTTCCTTAACTGATGAATAACAAAAAGACAATTATAACTAACCTCTTCTGTACTCAACAACAATAAATACATTAAACTAAGTATCATGTTTATAATTTATTTGCTTAGGTATCCGCGTAGGTGGGAATTGATTAAGTAAGTATATATCAACTATCATAATTTTTTTAAAGAGCTCTAGTTTGTAACAAGCAAATAGTGTTGTCTTTTCGTTATAAGCAAATTCAAAAGTTAAAAACCATCAATCAAAAGCTATTAAATTCATTGAGTGCAATTTTATACAGAGGCCCCTTTTTAAAACATATGGACATTTTTTTAAATGTTGAACATCTTAAGGTCTGGTTTCTTAGGACAAACACCTTATCTGAGCGTCGGCGGGACGTCAACGTCCCGCTGACGCCAACAAAATACTGGTTTGTTAGCTCAAGGCCTGATTTCTTAGAACTAGCGCCTTATCAGGGCGTCAGCGGAAAGTTGACGTAGAGCTGACGCCAAAAAAAATACTTTTTTGTTAGCTCAGCGTGAGCAGTCGGTCCAACGCAGACATTATCTCTCATTGCGCATGCGTTAATAACGTAAACAAATATTTATTTTGAATTTGTATTGATTTTGTTATTGTCGACCAGTGTTTTAGAGAACAAATAATGACTTTGTCCAAGAAAAAACACATTATAGCTGAGCTAAATGAAGAGTGCTATGTTTAATGAAGAAGCTATGTTTAATGTCAAAATCAAAATCTTGGCTGATTTCAATGTGCTGTTGGATGTTGTCCGCCATTGCTTCTGTGGTTAACGTCACGTTGTAATCCAACTGCAGTTGAGTTGGACGGCAATTGTAGTTCAAGATGAGC